ACATACAGAGCGGCGTTTCAGGCAGAGCACGAACACAGAATTGATTCCTCTTTCGCTTGAACGGACACATACACACAAAATTGCATCAAAATAACTATCTCTTCAAGTATTTTCATGTCTTAAATGAACGTAAACAATGGAGAAAGAAATCACACGTGCATCATTATATTGGATCACTGCATTCGGTCTTAAAGGGGCAGCAGCCTATAAATACCTGCTGTTTAAGCGCCACCTGCTGTCAGAGAGTGACATTTGCATCTCATTCAGCCCGTCTGCTGTTTTTGTTTTGTTCTGATTTTTTTATGTAGTATCACAAAGCTAAAGTCAGACCATTTTGTTTTACAATCTAAATAACATGCATGCAGCATCTTTGTTTGGATTGTGATTAAAGTACACAGACAAAACCTTAGTTTACTTGCATGAAGACATTTCTTTTTATTTGCATTATTTATTTATTTCATTTGGGATTTGTTTTCAAATTTCAAGTTAGTATATTGTTTGACATTTTCAATTTCACAAAGTAATGTGCAGCCTTTTGGTCTGAGAAATAACAAAAGGACACCTTTTTAGAAATGTAGTGGAGAGAAAAGTACAATATTTGTCTTTCAAATGTAGTGAAGTTAGTCATAAGTTCCCAGAAAAAATAATACTCAAGTAAAGTACCGATACTCAAAAAGTGTACTTAAGTACAATACTTAAGTAAATGTACTTAGTTACTGTCCGCCTCTGCACGTGCATCATTATATTGGATCTGTGCATTCGGTCTTAAAGGGGCAGCAGCCTATAAATACCTGCTGTTTAAGCGCCACCTGCTGTCAGAGAGTGACATTTGCATCTCATTCAGCCCGTCTGCTGTTTTTGTTTTGTTCTGATTTTTTTATGTAGTATCACAAAGCTAAAGTCAGACCATTTTGTTTTACAATCTAAATAACATGCATGCAGCATCTTTGTTTGGATTGTGATTAAAGTACACAGACAAAACCTTAGTTTACTTGCATGAAGACATTTCTTTTTATTTGCATTATTTATTTATTTCATTTGGGATTTGTTTTCAAATTTCAAGTTAGTATATTGTTTGACATTTTCAATTTCACAAAGTAATGTGCAGCCTTTTGGTCTGAGAAATAACAAAAGGACACCTTTTTTTAAATCTGTCTTAAATCTCACTTTGTTAAAAAAGAAATTGTGAGAAAATTGTATTGTGAAATCAGTATCGTGAATCATATCACATCGTGAGTTGAGTGAATCGTTACATCCCTATATGCTACTAGTTTTTGCTGTGGTATCGAAGTAGTAAATTGTTCTTTAAATAATTAGTGTCACTTAAATAATAAAAAAACTTTTTTTTTTTGCTCATCTGAAAAATGATCCGATCTGTGACTCAAAATCTGATATGATAATGTAATATAATCCGAACCGTGAGATTTGTGATCCATTGCACCCCTACTCTCTTGACTTGTTATTTGAAGAAAAAATACAATCACTGAAGTTTTCGATCATGCTGATTTGTCCGCAGTGAAGTTCAGCTAATGTCTTTTTTTTTATTCGGGCTAGTTAAATTTATTTTGGGCTACCAAAATATGAAGAATGCCTGCCCGAAGGGCTACCATGGATTTTGAAATTTTGCGAGCCCTGAACAGAAAACAGCTATTTTAAATCGTAACAATGTATCACAAAATTATTTTTTTTCTGTATTTTTGATCAAATAAATGCAGCCTTGCTGAGAAACTTCTTTCAAAAGAATTTGAAAACCATACCAACCCCAAACTTTTGAACAGACAAGAGCAGGGAAAGTTGACTTATTATTTAATTATTGTAGATTCACATTGATAAATATAGAATTTTAACCTAATAATTATATTAACTTTTTTTCCTTTAAAAGGAACTGAATACTTTAACACAATAATTACAAAAATTAACTGTGATTAAATATTTTTAAAGATTGACAGATTATTTTTAATTATATTTCTTAGAGAAATTATAATTGCTGAATTTCTGCACTTTATAAGACATTATAAGAAATTAATTACTTGCATAATGCAGGACAAAAATAAAATGCTAAAAACTTCATCTAAATGCTAAATGCTAAATCTTCAGGCAGAGAGCGGTGCGTTTGATTATCTGCAGCCTAGAATGTTAAATGTGTTTTGCTCACTGTTCTAAATATGGAAAACATAAAGTCGTCCTGAAAAAAGAAAAGCATTAAAGGCTCTGCGCACTATTTAGAGCCTCCACACAGCTCTTTAACAGCAGTTTCCAGAAAAACCTCAGCACACAAGCTCTGACAAACTGTAACAGTCACCAAAGGAACCATATGAAAGTTAATAAGAGAACTGTTAACAATGGCACCGTGACCCTCCATATGACAATGACAGTCAGAGTGAGGAATGATTCTATCACTGCATTTATGACTTGTGTCTTGGAACGATAGCGTGTATCTTT